AGTAGCAGACCCTCGTTAGCTTTGAAGAAGCAAGCTGCCGTGACTTCTACCGCCACCAGAAAAATGAATTTGTCCAAGAACTGTATGAGCTTGGAAGAGGACCCCAAGCTTCAGATGAGACCCACCAAGCCTCGTGAGAGGGCCCAGCTACACTGTGTCCTTTTTGTTATTATTATTATTTTTTTTTTTATTTTTTTGAGACAGGGTCTCACTTACCCATGCTAGAGTGAGTGCCGTGGCGTCAGCCTAGCTGGGGTCAAGACGCAGGGGTCTTGGCTCTACCACTCACTACCGCATGAAACCAGGCCGGTTTATCTTGCTGCCTTTTTATTTTTATTTTTTTTGAGACAGAGTCTCACTCTGTTTCCCAGGCTAGAGTGCTGTGGCGTCAGCCTAGCTCACAGCAACCTCAAACTCCTGGACTCAAGCGATCCTCCTGCCTCAGCCTCCCGAGTAGCTGGGACTACAGGCACAAGCCACCATGCCCGGCTGATTTTTTCTATATATATCAGTTGGCCAATTAATTTCTATTTATAGTAGAGACGGGGTCTCGCTCTTGCTCAGGCTGGTTTCGAACTCCTGACCTCGAGCAGAGTGCTAAGATTAGAGGCGTGAGCCACCGCGCCCGGCCTACGCCGTGTCCTGACCCATGGAATCTGTGAGATGGTAAACGTGTCCTGTCCTAACCCGTGCGGCGTTTGCGGTAGTGTGTTACACAGCGACGGGTAACTGATACGGCGACCCCCACACGTGCCCACCTCTAGCACCTGCCTGGACACAGCAGGTGCCGGACACCTCCTGGAAGCACGTAACTGGCCAGACCGTCAACAGAGAGAGACGCAAAGCCAGGCTGAGATAAACCATCGAGAAAGGCAGAGAAGAACCCCGAGGTCCCTGAGGGTGGACAGGGGACAAGAGCAGGGGGCTCGGTGGAGACCGGGAGGTGTGGTCTGCAGAAAGGACAGGGCAGCGCCCCGCCCTGGCACTGTGGGGCTGGGGGAGGAGGCACCGCCAGCGTCAGAAGGCTGTGAGGACAGGGTCCCCGGGGGAACGCCAGGTCAAGACCAAAAGGGGAAGGGAGTGTGGGGAGGCAGGCAGAGGTGTAGGAGACTTTACGCTTTACCACCAAAGTCAAACTTTAACACAGAGGAGATCGGATCCTGCTGCCCCGGCCCGAATGTGTGCTTGGGCAGGCAATTGCAAAGAACAAAATGAAAAGAACTCTAAGGACCACTTTCAAGCGCTTGACTTGGTAACGCTGGATTAAAAAAAAAAAAAAAAAATTTTCACTCCCGATCCACACTCTGGGGACAACACAGCCGTATTATGTGCCCGGTGCCCTGCCTGGCGCACACACCCACTCACGTCTCATGCCAGACCGAGCCGGCTCCCAGGATGGCGAGGGAGCCAGGCGCTGCTGCCAGCAGGGCCATCTGCTCACCAGTTCCCACAGTCTGAACAGCACGGCTTCCAGAAAGCTGCCGGAGAGGCCGGGCAGCCTGCACATGCACCGAGCGGGCAAGAGGAGGGAGAGAGCTGGCCCCCGCCGCCCGGCACCCGTCACCTGCGAGCTGGGCAGGAGATGATCAGCTCCTGAGACTCTTCCCAGAAGGTCTTCAGAGAAACTGTCTGAGTCCCAACACTGGCTCCTCAAAGCGTGCGTTCTTCCTTGCGTCTTGCGGGACGGTAGCCGGGTGGAGGATGCAGAGGCTGCTCAAGTCACAGAGCATCCGCGGTCGGGCCCGCAGCCCGAGGGAAGCCGGCCCCTCCGTCTTCTGAGCTGTGGCCCACGCTACACTGGGCAGGGCGTTGCACCCGAGCCCACCGTGGCCCTCGTTCCGTCATTCTGTGCAAGGAGCTTCAGGCAAAAGACTCGACAACCCGGGAAGGTCGCCTAGTGTCCTTGCCGTTTTACAGGTGGAAGGATCGAGACCAGAGAGGTCAAGGAACTCAGCTACTAGGCCAGGAGCCAGAGGCTGAACCTCGGTCTGCCCGACTCCAAGCCCCACTCTCTTTCCTCTGCGCCTCACTATTGCTCACACGCATTTACAGTGTACCGCAGAGTCAAAAGCTTAAGCTGTACAAATGCTATGTGCAGGAAGACAGCCCAGGCCTGGTCACTGAGGGATGTCCCAGCAGTTAGGAACGTGGACAAAAGCACACATAACTGCCCCACGGGCAGGTGTGGTACCTGCCAGAAAGAGAGAGAGAGAGAGACCAAGAGCTCCCTGCTTTCTCCGAATTAGAAGTCACAAACGTCCAGGCGGGGGACAACCTCCACTGACCGTGAGGACCGTGGCCGAGCAAAGCAGGGATTGGCTTAGGGACAGAGAGTGATCGGGGAACTGGGAGGTCCTGATGGAGAGGGGGAAGGGCCAGCCGCACAGAATGAAGGCAGGGCGCAGGTGGGACCGGGCCCTCGGGGTGACATACATGGGAGAGGGACAGGCCGATGGGTGGCCGTGCCATGCAACAGGGAGCTGGGAGGACCTGAATGACAGCACCCCAGGGGGACCTGGGGAAGAAGACAGCAGGTGAGACTCCCCATGATTCAGCAATGTATCACAAATGGGTGAGTCAAAGCTGACTTCCTGGATGACCCAAAACATGAAACTATGAGTTAAGGACAAAGGGAAGAAAAGAGGAGCGAGGGACCGCCCCCAGTTTTCTCCCTCCCAGCACCCCCTAGAGAGGAAAGAATGGCAGTTTCTCTCCAGGCTCCACTGGAAGCAAAGAGAAATCTCCCCTCCCTAACTCTCCTCCACCTAAACAAACAAAAACGACTCTTGCACAACTTTTTTCTCTAGACGAGAGGCTTTGAGAGAAAAGACCTAAAACAATGCAAATTAACAGGTGGATGTGAAAAGGTTTCAATCACAGCTTAAACCAGGACACCAGAGTGTACCGACTCTGGCCAGGAGGGTTAGAAACCAGGATGGTGTTCTCTGCCTAAAAAGGGAAGTGAAATGTCAAGGTGAGTAAAGAGGGAACGGGGGAGGGGGAACGAGCCCAGAGCCCAGGTCCCTGACGCCAGCCCAGGGTCTCCCAGCAGTCACGGTGGCATTGGGGACCCGCTAAAAGCAGCAAAGAGTGACCAGAATGACCTGACATCCTGGGAGGCACCCAACACAAGTCAGCGGGTTCTGGCCCTGGCACTGCCTCTAACCACCTGGATGCCCTTCAGCAAGTTCCCGCACCTGGATGTCCCAGAGAGCCGATTCGACTAACCTGGTCTCCGGAAAGGCTGCACGGTATGATCCACTCAGGTGTTAGAGGGGGCAGCGGCCTCGCTTTGAGTGTAGCATTTCCTACATGCAACCTTGGGCCTCAGGTTCTTTACCTACCAACTGGGAAAGTACCACGCCTAGGGCTGTTCTGAGGATGAAATATGGCAATATGTGACACTGCAAAAGTGTCATTTCCCGCCCCCTTTGTAAGAGCCTCTGCAGCTCCAAACTAGGCAGAGAGAAGGAGACCTTTTATTATCCAGAAAGGGCCATCACAACACATTTTCACATCACGGCCACTTGTAAGTTCCTATTAACTGCAAACAACTCCAAACACTCTGCTGTCAGCTCATTAAAGGTAATTAAAAAATAAAAATAGTTCTTTGCCCCTAAGACAGTCTAAGTGAGAGGGCTCAATGCTATCTCACGGACAAGAGAAAGAGATGGTCGCAAGGGGTGGAAGGGATTCCTTGCCCCAGGAAGGGGCTGGAGAGGTGCTCAGAGGGGGGGAGCTAGGCACCTGGGGCTGCAGATGCCCAGGAAGCCCCTCCCCCAGATCCTCCTCCCGCAAACAGTCCCCAGTGCCCTGTCTTCACCCAGACAGTCGGATCTACAACCCAGCCCATTACTGCCTCCACTTGGGAGTCCGGCTGTTCTCAGCCTGCAAACCCTAACCTAGGCCCCGCCCAACCAAAAATCCCAGGGTGAAAGGGCAAATGTGTCCTCTTGTCTCCGGAGAACATTAAAAACGAGGATCCAGCAACTCTTTGGCTTTTGCAGGCTAGTATTTCCCTACGCACATGATCTTGAGATATAACGGGTGCCACGATAAAAGTGAATATTTTCCCTGCCTGCACTCAAACAACGCAGAGACTTCAAAGAGAGGCTAAGCATAGTTCTACCACGTTTGCATAAGAGTTTAACCAGGGGAACATCCTGCTCTCAGTAATGAACGGTTGACCCCAATTTCTGAACACACATTTCCTTTTCCAATTAATTTTCCTCCTCCTCCTAAGATAAAACAGACTTAAAAAAAAAAAAAATGCCTGAAAGTTTGTTTACTTTTTTTAAACTCTGAGGTCAGAGTTTAAGACTGGTTCCTTGGGGCAAAGGAATACATTATATAATGAAATGCTGAATCATCTGTAAACCAACAAAATACCCAAACAAAGAGAAGGCCTTAATTTTTGGCAAAGGAAAACGAAAGATGTTTTTGGTGTCCACAAGTGAATACAGCAACTGAAGACTACATCTTAAGAAATCGTTTTAATGAGCACAGCCAAAGATTGCTCATGATTACTCACGTAAACCACCCAGAATGGATACACCTAGAGGGTTGAATACCTGTTTCAAACTGGCAAAGTGCTTACCTCCAATGGAGTATCTTACCAAAAGCAGGGTGAGAAAGTACAGTACAAAGGTATAGTACAATGGTTAATTTTTTTTTAAGACAGAGGAAAAATCTGCAAGAAAATATATAAAAATGCTCATAATGGTAATGCCAGGGGAGGAGGTAGAAGGGCAATGATTTCCCTTCCTTTCCAAATGTGACATAATGTCATTATAGGTGGTTATAGTTAAACAGGTATAATTTTGTAGACTTTTTAAAGCACTCTTTTTGTATGTGCTTTAAGTATACTTTTTTAGGCAAGAAAAAAAAAAAAAAAAACAGATGCATTCTTTTGGAGAGTTTTCCCTTTAAGAAAGGAACAAGAGTGTTGCCTTACCTGCTTGGAAGAAAGACTTCACAACAAAAACGAAAAGTCTGCTTACCTGAGGTTTAACTTTCGATCTTCGTCGCTGCCAGTCTCCAGCTAAAGAGAAAGAAAGAGAACATCACACCACGGACACCGCTATTGCCAACAAGCCTCGGGCGGCAGCCTCACATTTTCTATCCTGGTGCTGGAAAAAGATAAAGATGTCCAGGAAACCTGGCTCCTTCGAAATGGGCGCACGCTCTCCTCCCCAATGCTGGGCTGTCCTCAGTTCATTTCCATGCAGGGACCTGCAGGTTTCCAAATGCTTACCCGCATTCCTGCTGCAGTCCAGGGGCCTGACTCCTGCTAACCGAACACTTCCCATCTGCGACTGTTCCCCCAGCACTCTCTTAGCCCAGAGCTCTTGACTTTCCGGAGTTGTTCTGGATCTTATCCTGTTTTTCTCTTTTCAGGGGAGGGGGCTATGTTTTAAGAGAATCCATTTCCTCCGTCAAGCCAGGCAATAACAGCTAAGTGATGAAGACCATTTAAAAAAAACAAAACAAAAAAAACCGTGACAGGCAAGTCTTGCACAATGGAAGGGGGCCAGGAATCGGGCTATCTGTTTGTGGGTCTCCAAAGCCCCTAGTGGTTCTCAGAAAGACTTAAATGTTGAATACGAAATGTTCCAGGCGATTGGCTTACTTATATAAATGAAAGAAAGGGATATTGAGTATTCCTAAAAGCCCAAGAGGTTGGGCTCTGAAAGTAACTATGACTTTTTTTTTTTTTTTTTTCCGGAGAGAAAACTGAAATGAGAAGAAAACACACACACATACTCCCCAGACAGCTCTGTAGCGCTGGGACTTGGCATGGTTTTTATGTTACACAGAGGCGCCCAGTGAATGGGAAAGAGAAACCTGGAAAGCTAGGAGAGATGGCTGGGAGAGATGTGGGACTGATCGAGGACAGAAATGAGGCAGAAGCCAACGGTGACTGCAGAAACGTCAAGCACTAACAACGTAGGGAAGGGCCTGGACAGCAAGGGACACCCACCAGGAGGTGGCAACTTCCACCAAGAATGAGTATACCAGGGAGCCCCGGAGTCCCTAAATCGTGTTAGGACGGTGGATGCATGTGATTATTGCAGAGGCCGACACGCAAGGGCGCACACTGGTGGCCACGCCATGCTCCCTACCCCACGCCGAAGGAGAAGTGGAAAAACCAGGCAAAGCTTTGCTGACCACGGGCCACGAGCTCCCGTCCTGCAGCTAAACACACAAAAAAACCCAACTCACGATAACCACGACAAACTTAGAAGAGGATGTTCGGTCTAACCTAGCAGTTCCCAGCTGCTGGGGCGAGTTTCCACCATAGGGGACACTGGGCAATGTCCAGAGACATTTTTCTGGAGGCTGCTACTGGCATCTAGTGGGTAGAGGACAGGATGCTGCTACACATGCCACGACGCACATGAGAGAACGTTCTGGCCCCAAGTATCAGCAGTGCCGAGGCTGGGAAACCCTGGTCCAACCCCCAAAAGCGCCTGGGGAGCTGCCCATGATAATTAGTCACCTTGAAGGTTTGTCAGAAATAACAATGTTACCACGATCCATTCCTGAAAATTACTGGTTTATCTATTCTCGTGCTCTGGCCTGTTGGCATGCAGGAGCTGAGATAAGGTTAACAGGAGAATGACATAAGTGAGATCATTAAAGTTTGCAAAAAAAAAAAAAAAGAGGGAGAAAATTAAAAGACAGAGAGGAGAGAGTTGCTTCAGGGCTGAGGGCTGTGACAGCCTTCAGTTTCCCACGCCACGCAGCAGGCCAGCTGTGTCAGGGAACCGCTGCCTTGAGTGTGTCTGACTCATCGAAGAAGTTGCAGTTAGATGAGTGAGGGGACCCGGGGGGCTCACCGCCATTTCGTTCTCTGTCACTCTCTGGGGTTCTCGGATAAAAGGCAATGTCAGGTCAGCCACATGTGCCAAAGGACACAAGAAAGAGGTGACCTAGTCCTTTTAGATGACCCGAGACACAGAGAAGGGAGGCCACTCTGAGAACAGAAGGGAGGGCAGACCGCAGCCAGGGCCAGCCTGGTCCGGGTCTCCGGACTCAACATCCACGTGCTGTGTCCACTCCATCTGGCTTCCCGCCTGAACACGTCTGGGAGAAAGCCAGACCTCCGGGAGCACCCTAGCCTCTGCTCCCTCCCAGGGCGATGGGTGCTGCTCACTTTTTACTGAGGCCAAATAAAAGGTGTCGGAGGCTGGGCGCAGTAGCTCACGCCTGTAATCGCTCAAGGTCAGGAGTTCGAACCCAGCCTGAGCAAAAGCGAGACCCCATCTCTACTAAAAAAATATAAAGAAATTAATTGGGCAACTAAACATATATAGAGAAAAATTAGCCGGGCACAGTGGCACATGTGTGTAGTCCCAGCTACTCGGGAGGCTGAGGCAGGAGGATCGCTTGAGCCCAGGAGTTTGAGGTTGCTGTGAGCTAGGCTGATGCTACAGCATTCTAGCCTGGGCAACAGACTGAGACTCTGTCTCAAAAAAAAAAAAAAAAAAAAAAGCTGGCTGAGTTTTACTCCATGTTTACATAGTCATTGGCCCTTAGGAAAAATAATATCTTCTATCATAACTGAAAATATGTCTAGCAGAAACCACCCAAGTGTCCAGCAAAATGTGGTACGTCCATACAGTGAAATATTATTTGGCCATGAAAAGGAACGGAGGACTTCCACATGCCACATCACGGATGAACCATGAAAACATGACGCTAAGTGAAAGAAGCCAGTCACAAAAGGCTGCATGGTATACGACTCTATTTATATGAAATGCCCACAATTGGCAAATCCGTAGAAACAGGAAGTAGCTAAGTGGTTACCCAGGGTTGGGGAGGGTGTAAGTGTTGGCTAAGAGGTACAGGGTTTCTTTTAGGGGTACTGACAATGTTCTGGAATTAAATAACGGTGACAGTTGCACAATCTTGTGACTGTACTAAAAAAAAGCTATTTACTACAATGATTCTATCTTCTAAAAAGAAAAAAAAGAAAAAAAAAAGCTATTGAATTGTACACTTAAAAATGGTGAATTTATGGTATGCAACTAAGGGGTGATAAAACCATACAAATGTTGTCTAACACAGGAATAGATCAGGTGTAGACAACACAGGGAACGTGGGGTTTGGAATCAGAAATCTGGGCTGAGAGGCTCAGCCTGAAGCCAAGCTCTTCCCTCATCTCACGTGGTTTTTGTGATGAGAACCTGAGATTAAGTGCATGAAAATAAGTTGTCATCTGCCAGACAGCTACAGACATGATGAAGAGGGACACCAGTGCCACTTCTCGGTTGCAGGCAAGTGGCCACCAATATTCTTTTCCCTCTGATCAGCGTGCAGACGGGGGCCTACCAGAACCTTCTGTGTGCAGACAAGATAACTCACTAATGGCCTTGGACAGGAGAGGGGCTGTGAAGGTCCACTCTGAAAATGTTTGTGCCAATCCCGGCAAAATGAGGCCGAAGAGCTACACCACCAGGGCAGCTAAGCCGAGCACAGCTCTTCTCTGCGCCTCGCCCAGACACAAGCGCACCCCTCCCGCGCGGTCAGTTCAACTTCCCCCACGCTCTCCCACGGAGAACGGGCCTGCACGGCCCACATGCTGGCTGCACAGCTTCCTGGGCCTGCAAGGCTGCGCCACTGGCCTTCTAGAAACACAGCTAGGGGGTCTTCGCGGTGACACTCGCTCAGCCTTGCCGTGCATATGAGTTTAGACCACAGGCCTTAAACGGAGAGAGACTGCAGGACAAGAGGGTCTGCCCCGCCGGCAGCGGAGGGACCTGCTCAGAGGCCTGAGGCCCTGGGCGCCTAGGGCAAGGTGGCAGACTCAGAGGGTGTCGGTTCCCTAATTCGCCCCAGAGCAAGGAGAAGCCAGCCAAACATGGCCCGGGGCGCACACAGACCCCCAGGAACCCCCCCCCCCAATGCTATCACAAAAACTCCGGAATGGGCCCCAGCCACACGGAAGGAGGCACAGACACGCACGTCCCCAGCGAGGTTACAAAACGCCAACACCAGACTCAGACGCGAGACACCGCCAGCCACACGGAGCCGCAGAGCGACAGGGGCGCACCCACAGACACAACTCCAGGGGCGCGCAGCCGGGGAGACACCTCGCACGTCTGCAGGGTCACCCCCGCGTCCGCCTCACACGGCGCCAGCCAGGCGCAGTCCCGGCAGACAGGTCGCCAGCCAGGCACTCGGGCAAAGGGCCGGGACGCGCCACGGGGTCGCAGGTCTCGGAGCCCGCGTCTGTCTCTCTCGCAGCCACTCAATCCGGAGTCCCGGTCGCACTTGCCGTCTCACGCCCAGCCAGCCCCGGACGGGGCCGCACCGGCCCCCGCACTGTCACCCCTGCCCCGCTGCCCAGGGGCTTCCCGCGGCGGGGCCCCTCCGGGGCTGCCCCGGCCCCGCGCGAGCGGCGCGGCCCGCCCAGCCCAGCCCGGGCGCGGGCGCGGCGGCCAGGCCTGCGCGGGGCCGGGCTCACCTCGCTGTTGCTGGCCGAGGAGGAGGCGGCGCTGGGCGTGGGGGAGCGCTGCAGGGTCACCAGGGCCATGGCTGCGGCGCGGCGCGGGCGCCGCCGAGGCCTCGAGCTGGAGCCGCCGCCGCCGCCCGGGCCGGGCCGGGGCCTGGAGGAGCCGCGCCGCGGCCGGCCGAGCCGGGCCGGGCCCCTCGGGCTCGCGTCGCCCGCCCGGTCCGCCTCCCGCCTCCGCGCCGGCGCCGCGGGGCCCGGAGCGCGGACGGGCGGGGGCACGGGGCGGGGCGGGCGGCGGCGCGCGCGTGCGCGGGGCCGCAGCGGCGGCCCGAGGCCGGCTGTGGGTCCGGCCGCCCGCCGTCGCACACGCCCCGCCCGCGCGCCCGCCCTCCGCCCGGGAGCCTCGGGGGCGCGCCCGCTGCGCCGGCTGGGGAAACTGAGGAAGTCAAAGACGGCCTGGCCGGTGCGCCGTGATCTCCTGCAGGAGGTGTGTGCGGAAATTCATTCGTTCATTCATTCGTCGTCTACAAACCATTTACTGAGCACCTAGTAAGTGCCCGGCATTGGGCACAAAACAATAAGCAAAATAGAGTAGGCCTGCCCTCAGAGGCCTGATCGTGCAGTGGTTAATCAGATCATTAGGCACGTTTACAAAAATTAGTTTACTAATCTTTATCAATGAATTATTTCTGTGTGTACAGAACCCCAGCCAGCTACTGGGGTGGGAGATGGGGTGGTCAGGGAACGCTTTCGAGCGGAGGAAGAGAGATTTGCTCTGAGGTCTGGACACTGGGCCTAACGGTGAAAGCAGAGGAGACACCCCTCCAGGTAAGGGACACAGCAGCCACCAAAGCCCGGACACAGGAAGGAGGCTGTCACCCTGAGGCCAGCACCCAGGGAGAGGAGGAGGGGGAGTGGTGGGAGTCAGGATCTGCTCTGGAAAGCTGGCTCTGGCCGCTGCGTGCAGAAGGGACTGTGGAAAAGGGGAGGAGGGGGACCAGGGAGGAGGCTGCTGCTGCTGTCCTGGGAAGAGGTGACCAGTATGGGGTTGGAGAGAAAGAAGTGGAAGAAGAAACAGGAAGCTTCTCTTTTATCCCTAATCCCCTCCCCCACCTCTGCACGTTGCACACACGGTCCCAAACACAGTGGTCCAGTCCTGCACCCCATCTTAGCAAATCAGTTTTACTGCCCCACTGGAGACCCCCCCTCCCAGCCTTCTGGATCCTTCCCCCTCCCTCCCCCAGCTCCTGGGGGGCTGTGACCCCCTCCATATTCCGGGGGTTTGGCCCTCAGTGCTGTGTGCATGTCCCAGGTGGTTCTCAACGGGGCACACTGTAGCCTTTCTCTGTGGGAATGTTTTTGGTTATGTCACTGATGGGGAGGAGAGAGCTACTGGCACTTAGAGGGCAGAAGCCAGGGATACTTTAGGGACAGTCCCCCCAAGAAGAATTTCTCCATTCCCATAAGACACCTATTAGGTGAAAAAGCCATTTGTAATTATCCAAGCCAGAACCTAACTAACTCCATTCCGTCTATCAACCCACAGTATTTTTCACTGAATTTTCAGACATGCCACTATGTTGCAATAGATGGAAGAATATACTTTGTTTTGTTCAAGAGCTTTGTCAAGAATTGTTCACTGTTAGGGAGAAGGGGGTTTTTGGATGGCAACACCACTTCTAATATTAGAGTAGCCAACAGAAGGTGCCTGCATTTGTAGCTGTGATCTAGGTAAACAGACGGCCATACTTATTTAGCACTTACTCCAAAATGTCAAATATAAGGCAAAACCGTGGACAAAATTCAGTTGAACAGTGAACATCATACTGCGCAAATCTAAACACATTTATTATAAGTCGGTGTAGCCTTCTGAGACTTCCCTATTTCCTCTTAGGGAATTGAGTTTGAACATTTATATATATTGTAATACATTTCATTACATTACATTTACTGTTTCATTATGATTTATGTTTCTTTTATGTCTGCTTGACATTAGTTCTCAAATTTGAGTGTTTGAGAATCCCGTAGAAAAAACACAGACCCAGAGTTTCTAATTCGCTAAGTTTGCCATAGAGCTGGAAAATTTTCACATCTAACAAGTTTGAGAATTACTGCCTGTGGGCCAGGCTTGGCGGCTCACGCCTGCAATGCTAGCACTCTGGGAGGCCGAGGCGGGAGGTTCGCTCAAGGTCAGGAGTTCGAAACCAGCCTGAGCAAGAGCAAGACCTTGCTTAAATAAATAAATAAATAACAAAAAATATCCAGGTATGGTGACATGGCCCTAGAGTCCCAGCTACTTGGGAGGCTGAGGCAGGAGGATCGCTTGAGCCCAGGAGTTCGAGGTTGCTATGAGCTAGGCTGACGCCACAGCACTCACTCTAGCCCAGACTCATTATAGTAGTGTGAGCAACCTCTCTAAATTAAATTAAATGAGGCCGGGTGCGGCGGCTCACGCCTGTAATCCTGGCACTCTGGGAGGCCTCGGCGGGCGTATTGCTCGAGGTCAGGAATTGGAAACCAGCCAGAGCAAGAGCGAGACCCCGTCTCTACTATAAATAGAAAGAAATTAATTGGCCAACTAAAAATATATAGAAAAAATTAGCTGGGCATGGTGGCCCATGCTTGTAGTCCCAGCTACTCAGGAGGCTGAGGCAGGAGGATTGCTTCAGCCCAGGAGTTTGAGGTTGCTGTGAGCTAGGCTGACGCCACGGCACTCACTCTAAACTGGGCAACAAAGTGAGACTCAAAAAAATTAATTAATTAATTAATTAATTACATTTAATGCAAATCCAATTGAACTCCCAGCTTCATTTTTTTCTTTTTTTGGGTATAGGGGCTCTCGCCAAGAGATAACAGAAGGAGCTAACATTTATTGAGCATCTCCTGTGTGTTGGTTGTGTCATGTAACGATCACTATTTCATCGTAATTCCACCAGAGGAGAAAGCCCCTAGTTAATCATTTTTTCCAATAGTGAGAAGCTGCCGTCACCTGCTCCCCTCCCCCATTCTGCACATGAGGTTTCAAGAGGGAACCGTTTGTGATTCTGGGAACCGTGGGGAATACAGCTGGGGGGTTGACATCAGGCGTGTTTGACATTTAAATGTGTTCCCTCGGCCCTCCCTGGCGTATGTTCAGTTTCCTTAAACACCAGCCCAAGATCACACAGGTAGGAAGAGCTCAGCCAGGGTACCAACCAGACATGCGTGACTCCAGAGGCCCAGAAAGGTAACCGTGGAAAAAGAGGCAGGCAGACCCCGCAAACGAAGAGTAAAGAGGAGGGATCTCTCCTATCAAATAGTCAAACACATGACGAAGCTGCAGAAATTAAAACAGAATGGGTGCTGTCTTGGAAAGCCACAAACAGATCAGTGGTGGTGCTGTAAGTCCCAGAATACACTCAAACACACAGGGAAGTAGGTTTAGTGAGTGATAAGAGTAGGGGGTATCAGTGGGGCAAACGTGAGTTTCTCAGACAATGGTTTTGCTGCCACTGGCTGGCCAGTAAGCATGGATCCCTACCCCGCTTCCGTTCTCCAAACCAATCAAATATTTATTTATTTATTTGGAGACAGAATCTCACTCTGTTGCCTGGGCTAGAGTGCTGTGGCGTCAGCCTAGCTCACAGCAACCTCAAACTCCTGGGCTCAAGCGATCCTCCTGCCTGAGCCTCCCAAGTAGCTGGGACTACAGGCATGCGCCACCATGTCTGGTTAATTTTTTCTATATAGTTTTAGTTGTCCAGTTAATTTCTTTCTTTCTTTCTTTCTTTCTTTCTTTCTTTCTTTCTTTTTTTTTTTTTTTTTTGGTAGAGACGGCATTTCCCTCTTGCTCAGGCTGGTCTCGAACTCCTGAGCTCAAACGTTCTACCCACCTCGGCCTCCCAGAGTGCTAGGATTACAGGCCTGAGCCACTGCACCTGGCCTCAATCAAATATTTAAATGTTAAAAAAACCCCAAAACCTTAGAAATTCTAGAAAGTCTGTGTGAGTAATTTATAATTAGGAGCAAGGGAGGAGGTTGAGACAAGGTTTCTAAATATGACATTACAGCCATGTAAAAATATACTACAAAACCATGCACTACCATAAAGAAAATGGTAGTGGCCAGGCCCCGTGGCTCACACCTATAATCCTAGCACTCTGGGAGGCCAAGGCAGGTGGATCGTTTGAGCTCAGGAGTTTGAGACCAGCCTGAGCAAGAGTGAGACCTCATCTCTACTAAAAATAGAAATTACTTGGACAGCTAAAAATATATAGAAAAGATTAGCCAGGCATGGTGGCACATGCCTGCAGTCCCAGCTACTTGGGAGGCTGAGGCAGGAGGATCACTTGAGCTCAGGAGATCGACACCAGCCTGAGCAAGAGCAAGACCTTGTCTCTACTGAAAATAGAAAAAATTAGCCGTGTGGTGGCACATGCCTATAGTCCCAGCTACTTGGGAGGCTGAGGCGGGAGGATCGCTTGAGCCCAGGAATAGAAGGTTGCTGTGAGCGAGGCTGGCGTCATGGCACTCTAGCCCAGGCAACAGAGTGAGACTCTGTTTCAAGAAAAAAAAGAAAAGAAAATGGTAGCGCAATAACCATAAAGGAAAAAAAGGATGATAGATTTGACTACCAAAACGTTTAAAAAAAAAAAAAACAAAAAAGCTTTGTATGACCAACAAATTAGGAAAAATATTTGCCACAAAGAGATAAGACACATATATATGAAGAGTTTTTGAAATCAGCGAGAAAAGTGAGCCAGGCACAGGGGCTCACGCCTGTGACCCCCACGGCTGCAGAGGCCAATGCGGGAAGATTGCCTGAGCCCAGCAGTTCGAGACCAGTCAGAGCGACATAGTGAGATCTCATCTCTACCAAAAACAAAGAAAACCCAATAATAATTAGCCAGGAGTGTCCTGCATAAAAAGGATGCCACTGTCCTATAGTCATTGTGGAAAGAGGCTCAGGACACACCATGTCGTGTCATAAGTGCAAAGAGTGACAGAGGAAACGGCATGGGTCACATGATCCCATTTTTGTCGCCTTTGTGTGTTTATGTTAACATTTGGAGACACCCAAAATAACACCTCCTATTTCCTGGTGGTGGGATCGGTTGCACGTGATTCTTACTTTCTTCTCTGCACTCTCTGCATTGTATAAATTTGCAGTG